AATTTTGCCATGTTGGGCTTTCTTTAGGGATTCTTATTTTCTCTATTTTACTTGAAAATTATTTTCCTTTAATTCTTTAAGCAAGTGATGATATCTACTAGTCATAAACATACAAGAAGCTGTGTTTTATTTGGAAAACACAACACTATAGTTACCCATTTATACGGTTATGATCTACGAAATCTGATCCTTCTGTATCCAGAATATTCTTCGCATAGTTTTTTTACAAAGTGCATTTACAAAATAACGATGCTATCCTATGTCTGTCCACCATATCCATAATATTCAACTGATTAAAATACACTGCATTAACAGTAAGAATAATTCCCAGAGGCCTATGGGAAATAAACATTACGAAAAAAGTGAGGGGTAATAAGAAACAATCAAGGGGGTGGGAAAGTGTCTGCATATTTCATGTCTGAAATAATGCATCAGTAATTAAAGCTTGAAAGTCTCCATATGACTCTTACTGTGCTGGCGTGATGTGAAACCCCACCAAAACAAATATTTAGCTGGGTGAAGTGTGAAAATAGATTATTTATTTAATCTATTTATTTCTCTTATATAAGAAGTAATCTTTTATTCAAAACATATTTTACTTAGAAACTATAATGCCCAAAACTTGTATATATTTTAATAATATCATAATGTTTTTAAATAAATTATAACCCTTGGGGTGAAGATTTACCCCACTCTTAGGGTTACTTGTTTCATGTTAACTTGTATGGGAAACACGTATATGAATCTAAGAGCTTATTATCAAAATTGCTGTTCATCATTATAGACGTTTACTAAACTAACAGGACTAATGACCCTAAAAAGGCCACCAGCACAGAGCCAGGTCACATCCGTAAAGACTGACCATTTGCTCACTGGTAGATACATACAATATCTAATAGCAATCACTCAGACTTTAAATGAACTGTTCGAATTTCACACTATATAAATCATTTCATCATTTTAGTAGGCAAATGGTAGACTAAAGACAGGTTGAATATATATTTTGGTTACTTTTAGCTTCACTACTCAATGTACATGTGTATGGATAGCTACGAGAGTTGTGTGTGTGGAAGATTTTATATATCCATGCTATGAAGGTCTGAAAGTTTACAATGTCAAATAATTAATAAAGAGCGAGAACAATGAATATTCCTATTATTTAACAAAGCACGCTCTTAATTAAAAATAAACGGTTCAAACCCCGTTGTTTCCTTGAGTAAGAAATTGTTCACGCATTGCTTCGTACTCACTTCAACAAAGACATATTACGAAGTTTATAGCTCTGTGGTTTCAGTGACTTAAAGATTGCTTACAAAAATATATTTGAAAACCGATAAAAGGCGTTAAACCTGTGTAATAATTTAATACCATAATGAAAAAATCCCATTTTCCGGCGTCACCGGGAAGCACTATTTACGTACATCGGCGTTTCCTCATAAAAACTGCTTGAATTACATTTTATCAGCTTATTTCCAATTTTCTTTGTCATCAGAAGTTTATTAAATATAATTTGCCTACCAAAGATCGAAAATATACGGTATAATATGCATTGTTGCACTAATAAGAATCGACAAAAAGCCAAAATCACACTTAAATAAGCGGTTTACTGGTCGGCAAATGACGCCTCACTCCCTTGTCTAATCAATATTTAACAAGTACAAATTTTCCGGAATGCAGCAATTGAGAAGCTCCGCGCAAAATAATGTGTTCATTAAGTAGGCATCTGATGACCATATATTCTTATTAACTTTTCAATGGTTAATTGGATTTTACCAGAATTGTACATGTATATCATAGATGAATGGGCGGACGAAAGACATTGTTTATCATGAACTTTGGTAGGCTTGCTAGAGATAAGGATATTAAATGTATTTTCTTTGGAACATACAAAACAGTAGTCAAAATGAGCAAAGTTTTTTATGCCATCTGCGATGCGGTGGTATATAGTGATTCACCTGTGTGGTGTGTGCGTGTGCGTGTTTGCGTATGTGCGTGTGTTTGTGTGTGTATGTGTGTTCTATAGATTATATAGTGAACTTAAAAAATCTTCTTGTGAAAAACCACTAGTCCAATTTCAACCAAACTTGGCAGGATTAATCCTTGGGTGAAGGGCTTCCAAAGTTGTTCAATGTCATTTAACATATGTGTACGTTAACAAGGTCTCATGCATCCAAATATCACCCATAAATTTTATTCAAACTATCACTTTTATTATGATTTCGTAGAAATAACTTCATTTATCATCGCCAGTATTGTCCAATTATTTATATTGCAAAACACTTTAGTAAGTTAAGCTTAAATTTTCGTTTTTAATGCTGAAAGTGAGCTATAGTAATGGCTATAGTAATGATTCAATTTTAGAATTTTATATGTACCAAATGTCAATTTTATGTCATGTATCATTTAGGTTGTTTTAACAAATATTTCACCTTTGAATGCCATCACATCTTGTTAAACCTATTTATGTTTTCTTCCTTATTATATAAAGATAATTACGAGTTATTTCCACATCTCTATGTCTCTCATAATGCTCATTAGTTCGACTACACCTAGTCACATTTAAAAAAAATATTGTCCCTATGATAACTTTCAAAGTATTGCTCCAAAACTGCTGATTTCGATGGTCTTTTTCACTAGATTCGCAAGTCGTGTGTTTGCACTTTTCATTAAAAGAACGTCTTGAGATGTTCAACTGTTACTGTTACAACAATGGTGGTAACGTATTTTAGCTGTCAGGAGGCCATTTACGCCTTTGATTCGTTCGAGGACCTCACTTTACACTAAAAGTGTCTTGTTTTACACAAAGACTTGATTTAAACATGAAAGTCGAAGGTTTCAACTTTACACCAACATCGCCACAAAGTTTATGTTCTTTCTGCAACTTACACAGTAATATTGTCTTAAATAAATATACGTTCAACATTTTTTCTTGTTTCTAAACTTCTAATAATATTATGGTCTCTTGCAGTTTTCTCTTCTTGTCGTAATCATAACAAAACTCTTTTCTAATTTTTTGGCTTTACATCCAGTCATCTAAAATGGAATTAAAAAAGGGATTACACAAAAGCATTGTCTGATCTTCAGTATAAAGCTACCTATCATAGGAAAATAAAGAAATAAATTTTACCCAAAAAGTGGAGTCCTCTTGAGAGAAATGTATATTTAATCAAACCGAGCCTGCAATTTTCAGTAAATTTGCTGTTTTTAATGCCCCCGAGGGCTCACTTTTTTACCAGTTATTTAGCTGTCAAGTGCTGTGTGGCAGCCGTAAAAAGTTGCCCCGTACTTCACTTCAGTGTTGTTATATTTTTCTGGTCCTTCGGGATCATTGATTTCAGCACTTTTAAGTGTTGAGAATTGAGTACCGCTCAACCCGGTGCTAGGGGCCGTGAGGGATGTTGCACTTTTCATTATCCCTCATGTACAGACTCAATAAAACCGAGTCTGCAATTTTCATGTAAATTTGCTTTTTTTAATGCTTCCAAAGGGATCACTTTTTACCAGAATTTAAATAACATCTGAAACTGTATTTGACGAGAGAAACAAAAGAATTAAAAGGAGGTATTTCCCCTTTGGTCACATGGTTGTCGGTATGACAGGGCTTTCATTTGTGGCTAATCAAACAAAGCACCAATCACTCTTGATATCTATAATGGGTTAATTATCTGCTCGTTTAGACCCATACTTTCAATATGATTCACAGACCATATGTTGTAGTTTTCATAGATTTAGAACGGACAGCATAAGGAAAGGAAAGCAAACAGATAGACATACCCTATTAAAGATAGGCAGATGTTCTCCAAAGGTTAATAGTATCTCAGAATCAAGTTTTACAACTATCAAATTTATATTTTGGCATGGAGCTAAATATAATTGTTTATATATCTGTGATTTTGGTAAAGACAAAAAACAGAGACACAGGGACAGAAAGGTTGTCCAAACATTTAGACGTAAACCGCGGATTTGAAGCTATTTTTTACATTGGTCAAATCCGCTTTAACGTCTAAAGATATCTACATTTTGTATTTAAAAGTCCATAGCAAAATGAAAAACAAAAAACATGTACAATAATCCAAACTCCCTATGTAAAATGTTACAAATAATGATTGGTATTCATAATCCTACCAAAAAAATGTGTATTTTCCTTCTCAAAAACAACTTATTCAATTTTCAAACAATTTTAAACAAATCCCGTTTAAAAATCGTGTAAACAGCCTCCATATTGGTGTGTACTACGCATAGCGGTGATTACTGGAACCAAATTTTTTAGACGAAATTTTAACTGCGTGCATCTGTCAGCGTCTTAAATCACAACTGAAAAAAATCGCTCCGACTAATTTCGTACTATTGTTTTTTTGAGTGGCGTCACAGCATGACCGGGAATTTCCAATATGGGGGTCAACGCAAAATGTCTTTCATGTGTCTTCTTAAATATATGGATAAATGAACTACTTATCGTGAGCAATTTTGCATATTTTAACAGTTTTTGGGAAAATATGCTTCCGTCTTTTATGCAATCAGTTGCTTTTTGTGATAAATAGCATTTAAGTTGTGATTTACCGGTAAATTCAAATCGACTCGAGAAGCGTGTCGATTTGTGCTAAAGGAAATAAGCCAAATAGGGAAAAACTTCGCATTTTCCGATAAACGTCAAACTGTAAAGAAAAAGAAAATGCGATGTCTTTCAATGAAGAACTAGAAAGGTTGTCAAAATTTAACATTTCATCATCATCATCATCATCATCATCATCTCAAGTAATTGCATCACTCCGCAAGGAGTATACTCGCAATTGGATAAAACCTGATTTATACATACGCAGCAGGCAGGACTGACTGTTTTCCAAAATAAAAATAAAAAGTTCTCCTATTTACAGTTTCTATTAAAAGAGTAAAAACAACTCCGTGATTAGTATTTTATATGTTGGCTGGTCAGAGCTGACTGGAAAGCATCCGGGCTGGTCTGGTCAACAACGTCTTGCGGCAGCTTGTTCCAAAGCACGATGGTTGCGGGAAAGAAACTATTTTGGAAGGTGGAGGTGCGTGCTCTGATTTGGCGGAAGCGTTGGTTGTGCCCTCTGACAGTCTTAGCATTTAGACGTAAACCGCGGATTTGAAGCTATTTTTTACATTGGTCAAATTCGCTTTAACGTCTAAAGATATATATTTAAAAGTCCATAGCAAAATGAAAAACAAAAAACATGCACAATAATCCAAACTCCCTATGTAAAATGTTACAAATAATGCTTGGTATTCATAATCCTACCAAAAAATGTGTATTTTCCTTCTCAAAAACAACTTATTCAATTTTTAAACAATTTTAAACAAATCCCGTTTAAAAATCTTGTAAACAGCCTCCATATTGGTGTGTACTACGCATAGCGGTGATTACTGGAACCAAATTTTTTAGACGAAAATTTTAATGCGTGCATCTGTCAGCGTCTTAAATCACAACAGAAAAAAAATCGCTTCGACTTATTTCGTACTGTTGTTTTTGAGTGACGTCACAGCATGACCGGGAATTCCAATATGGGGGTCAACACAAAATGTCTTTCATGTGTCTTCTTAAATATATGGATAAATTAACTACTTATCGTGAGTAATATTTGCATATTTTTACAGTTTTGGGAAAATATGCTTCCGTCTTTTATGCAATCAGTTGCTTTTTGTGATAAATAGCATTTAAGTTGTGATTTACCGGTAAATTCAAATCGACTCGAGAAGCGTGTCGATTTGTGCTAAAGGAAATAAGCCAAATAGGGAAGACTTCGCATTTTCCGATAAACGTCAAACTGTAAAGAAAAAGAAAATGCGATGTCTTTCAATGAAGGACTAACAGAAAGGCAGATAGACATGCTGTTAAATACGGAATGCCGTTAGGGCCATCGCCTGTGAATGTGTTGATCTGAAACGCGATAGTCGATAGTACAATGGTGAAAACGCGAACTCACGAAACTACGATGGTGAAAACGCGGAAGTACGATGATGAAAACGCGATAGTACGATGATGAAAACGCGACAATACGATAGTACGATGATGAAAACGCGATAAACTATCGTGTTTTCACCATCGTACTGTCGCGTTTTCACCACCGTAGTTTCGTAAATTCGCGTTTTCATCATCGTACTGTCGAGTATCGTGTTTCAGATCAAACCATTCATAGGCGATGGCCCTAACGGCATTCCGGAATGTCGTTAGGGCCATCGCCTATGAATGTGTTGATCTGAAACGCGATAGTCGAAAGTACGATGGTGAAGACGCGAAATCACGAAACTACGATGGTGAAAACGCGATACTACGATAATGAAAACGCGATACTACGATGATGAAAACGCGATAGTACGATGATGAAAACACGACAGTAAAATGGTGAAAACGCGATAGTACGATGATAAAAACACGACAGTACGATGATGAAAACGCGATAGTACGATGGTGAAAACGCGATAGTACGATGATGAAAACACGACAGTACGATGATGAAAACGCGAAATCACGATATTACGATGGTAAAAACGCGAAAGTACGATGATGAAAACACGAAAGTTTATCGTATTATCATCATCGTACTGTCGTATGATCGTGTTTTCGTTATCGTACTGTCGTGTTTTCATCATCGTACTGTCGCGTTTTCACCATCGTAGTTTCGTGATTTCGCGTTTTCACCATCGTACTGTCGAGTATCGCGTTTCAGAGCAAACCATTCATAGGCGATGGCCCTAACGGCATTCCGTAGTTAAACAGAAAGATGGACAGACAGATATCCATATTAGCACAGACATCTTTGACCCGTTGCGTTTGTATCGAAATCTTATTGTCATGTGTTAACGAATTTAGCACTAAAAACGGGAATCTGTTACCGACAAAGCAACAGTGGGAATCACAATTTTGAAATTACATAATTATTGTACATTCTGCATCTGTTTTTGACTCCCTGACATCCCATATATCACTAGTATGTAAAAAAGATAATATATCACGCTCAGTATTACCTTTCAAGTCTTATCTAAACCGCCTCCGTGGTCGAGGGGTTAGAGTCGATGACTTCTAATCCAGTTACCTCTCTGGCGTGGGTTCGATCCCCGGGAGATGCTTTGGTAGTTTAGCGCGGAGGAAGGTAGTCTTGTACTGGTGTAACTCTCCAGGAACGATGGTTAGAAAACTACCCGCCTATATGATTGAAAGACTGTTGGGAAAAGGCGCACATAAAACACAAAAAAGAAAAGAAAACAATATTCATAAAATCTGTATTTTTTTTTATTAAAATAGATATTACGATTACTGTATAATAAACAATTATGCTCAACATGATCAACATGGTAATATAACCAGTGTCATATTGTTAGTAAGTGTGACCAGATACCTTTAGAGGGGGTCTTCCGCTAATAGCGATAACATAATAAGGGGCAATTACACAAGTGTGTTGTTGATCATGCGTTACACATATTGATTATAAATGATTGTATACATGTATATCCGTTGCTATTATAAAGAAATAACAAGAAATATTCTAATCTCTAGCATGCCAATCAAAGTTAATAATGAACAATGTCTTTCGTCCGTTCATTCATAAGTGATATACAATGCTGGTAAAAACCAATTAACCATTGAAAAGTTTATAAGAATATCTTGTTATCATATATCTACTAGTTTATCTTCACCTGCTGCATTTCTTGCTTGGACGCCCTTTGATGCTTTGCATCAATGCTTTTCTTGTATAATGTATATTCAAATGTATGTATGCTTAATGAGGGTCCATCCGCCCTTTCAGTCACAAAATGCAGCTTTCGTTGTCGATTACGGACCCCGGACATGTCACAAGTCATGCCCTTAAAGAGTTAATTTTGAAGCACAAAGTGGTGATAATTTAACTTCATGCAATTTCCACGGAGTATTAGCCAAATATATGAATTTTGAGCCAAAAGTAGGTCACTGTACAGTGGTCAATAAGAACCTAAATGAACAGTAACCTGAGACAATATGAAAGGGTAGCCCTGAAAAGGGCTGTTGGTTGGTGCCAACAAAAGGCCTGCCGTTCAAACCGTCTCACCGTGCTTAGGGCCCACGCACCTTAGCACACCATCCTTGTCGACCCAAGAGCTTACTTTGTAGGACCGCTCCCCTCGGCTTTAGTCAGGACATCGGCACCTTTTTTCGCCGTTCCCAGTCTTCAAACCTTCTGCTGATGCCCTGTTTCTTCTCTACGACATACACGTACCGAGGGGAAGAGAGATGAATGATATTCAAGTGTGGTGGTGGTGTTGGTATTTTTACTCCGGATCACGACAGAAAGCCACATTGAATTCACCAGAGCACAGTTCAACCACCGCATCGTTCCTGGGCAGGCTGTCGAGCAGTTTACCAGTACTAGTTGCCTCACTTTCGCAAGGAACTGAAACTTCTGTACATGCCTGAGCGAATGACCGTAGAAAAGATTTCATGATCAATCACAATGAAAATGACCTGCGCCGCCCGCTTCACAGTCCAACGCTCTACCTATTGAGCTAACCGGACAGCTTTTTTTTGACGGCATTGTTCAACTCTTGCTATATATACTGCAGTTATTTGAAAAGATGATTGGGCTAAGGAAGATTTATAAATTCATTTTTATTAGATACATATTTTCTTCATATCTTGGTTAACAATAAATTAAAAAATTATATTATAATTATTTTTATTTATTTTCTTGTAATTAATGCAAAACTTTATTTAATCTTGTTAAAGGGAGGTAAATGCAGAATGGAATGCTTAGGGCGGGGCCAATTCTGACCCTAGGGATTTTATAAGACATCCACTAGAAGATGTTTCATGCCAAATACCTAAGCTCTAGCTCTTTCGTTTTTTTACAAGAATTTTTTTAAGTTTTAAAATTTTGAAGTGGCCCAATTCAAGTCACCTCTAGTTAGATTGGTCATAATTAAAGTGTATTTATTGCATTGTATAGCTTTTGTGTGTTATATGATAACTTTAAAAGTTGTTTTTGTGTATTCTCCAGGAACTCATTTGTTGGCGGAAGGATTAAAGATGTACTACCCACCAGCAGTCGGGAGTTTTTAAAGTGGTGAATTTAAACAGTGTTACAACAGAATGAAGATTTCTGAAAATAGTAGATGGCTAACCTATTATACTTTGGGCCTCATTGGACTTAGATAGTGTTAATATGTTTAAAGTTGAAGACAGTATATAATTCATCAAGAACAGTGGAATCCAGAATTAAGCCTCAAATGTGACTGATTTACTATAGAACAAAGAATACAAAAATTCACCGGACCGAGTCCTTTTGCGTATCTGATTGTAGTGAATGAATCTCATTTAAAACTTAAAACCACTAGGATCAGTCGCGCATGCTCTGCTTCAAAATACGACTTAACTTTAACAAAAAAATAACATCGAAGTGAACAAATCGGTACAAAGAAAAATTGGAAAATATCATTTACGTAACTTTACACTACGTGAATGGTTCATTCCGTTTTAAACCGTATAAATCGATTATTGTTTTCTGAATAGCGTTTTACTATTTTTTGTTTCGAAAAATAGTAACAGTGAACATCATAGCTACAATATCAGCGTACACTATTATATGACCGAGTGAACCGTGTATCGAAATTTTGTTGCTCCTATAACTTTTGAACCAGTATGCCTTAATTACGCAACGGAGATTTTTTGGCGCAAATCGCAAAAAAAAAGTTTTCAAGTTTGATTTTCTTCAAATATTGTGGTTGGTGGCATGCAGCTTTATATACTGTTTATTCCAATCAAATGATATAAACATTTTTTATGTAAATCTGGAACTTAAAATTGTTTGATTAACATACTTCATGCCTGTTTTGGAAAATCTCTGTTGCAGAGGAAATATTTCCTATACTTACCAAAACATTAACCTAAAATTTGATTAGTGAATTTTGCAAGAAACGTTTATTTTGAAACTACTTTTAATATATATCATTTATTTTGAATTTAGTTTGATAACATAACATAAATTGTTCCCTTTGTAGAAAAAGTATCCTGATGCGCCAAGAAAATGTCTATTTCTCCTGAATATAATCTTTCAAAACATTAAAAAATGAAGTGTAAAACAAACTTTCATTACGATACTATATTCAATAAATCTATAATGAATTCTTATTTGTTAAATAATTGTAATTTATACATTCATTGTGCCTATTACGCAAAAAAATATCTCCAAATATTTTCGTATTAAACAAATCTTCAACAACTGCAATAGACCTCTAGCATGCTTCTTTTTAAAGATACAAACTTGTCTATAATAACCTCGGAAACAATACGGATTGAAAGTAGTTCTACCACGTGGTTTCAGATTTAAACAGAAACAGAGATAATGTAAAACGAATGTATATAAAGAAAAGCAATGTCTGTTTCGATACACTTATGATTGAAAATATGTCTGATAACAATATGTAATTTAAATATGTCCAATGATGTACAATTTTAAACAAATCCGACTAAATATCAACAGGTTTTTTGTACTTTCGGTTTCTACAACCATAATAATAAATATAGAAATAATGTATTGTTTGCTTTTGTATCTATAAATTCACTTATTCTAGGTAGACTTTTACCACATATATTGGAAATAAACTTCTCAACAACTCCCAGCATTCATTTACTATTTTTTTACATGTTTAGTTTCTTTGTGTAGGTTAGACCGAAATACCGCATCCGTTCTGTGTACTAGTATTCATACTGTCGTGTTCGAGGTCCTTATCCGAAGACTGACGGAAAGGGCCGAAAAGTTGCGATTGGCGGTATAAAAGTCTACACCATACTGTCTGAATCAATTTAACGGTATCAAAACACTAACTGTTCAAAATGTTAAACAAACATTTATAACAAAACTTCTGTAAAACATCAACAATAGCATGTTCATTTACACAAACATTCATACACTACTGTTATTTTTTATTACTCTTCTTTTGCACAATGGGATCATCTAAAGACAGTTGCCCTCCTGACCACTTTTAATATTGTGCTATTTTGTATGTGGACAATATCTCGCCTCAATTTTGACCCAGAACGAAACTATCTCAGAATCTAGCTTTGGTTCTTCAATATATTTTGACTAACCATTTGCCGCGAAACATGTAACGGACATTATGAAAAACAAAGTCGATGGAAGTTTTTGTTTTGACTCTTATCTATTTACATATGGATTTTTATATTTCTGACCTTGATTATGTGTTGAGATTTGTAGAAATGAGTAGAATTAGGGAAAAAGAAAATGTACATTCTTTGATAGTTTTTATCATCTAATATTACTGACTACAGTTTTTATCATCTAATATTACTGACTACAGTAGTGACACAAAAAGAACAATATTGCACTACTGTCATGTCACATTACAAGTCTGGTAAGCCATGTTTGTATTACAATTACTTTCCTTTATAGGCATCATTGAAAGCATATTTTCTGGTCCCTATTTTTTAAACGATAAGTGTAATTATGCAAATTAATTTTTTTTAGAAATCATCGGAATAATGTACAATAGTACTTAATCTAAATAGAAAATGACCTGTGTGTAGGAATGATTTGGTAAGGTATCTGTAATGAGCGCATTTTTTTTGCTCGGAGATTTTCAATTGATGCATTGCAGCAACATTTGTACTTGTATATTCATAGGCCTCACAAATGTTGTACACTTACAGCGTTATTATCGTTTGTTACAGAATTTCGCTTGGCTTTTAGCGTGTTTGACAATGATGGTGACGGGACTATTTCGACAGAAGAATTGGCTTCTGTTCTGAAGAACATGGGCCAGAATTTGACAGACGAAGACCTTGATGAGATGATAAATGAAGTAGACGAAGACGGTATTCCTCACATTTCTCACTTTTGCGCAGTTCGTTACCATTAATATAAAAAATAAACACAGTTTTATACTAATTTAAGACTTACATTCATTTAAAGGTCAAATATGTCCTAAAATGTATTTTCATTTCTCAATACCTTTTTATAATGGCGTGTGTTGTAATTTCCGCAAAAAATACTCGTTGGGCATATGGCCAAACCGTCGTATGCATCTTTGGATTTTAAGCATTAACAAGTACATTTTGTAGACAAAATGCCATTTTGTTTACGTTTTACCTTCACGTGGCTAATTAATTCATTTTCATCAAAAAGATACCACTGAATAAAAAACCCTACCAAAATACATGTAACATATATATTGTTCATTGTTAAAGTTGCGTAACGTAATGTTTCAAAAATAAACCTGCATAAAAATGTCTATATTATAATGCAAACAATATATTTAACATTTATAATATTTATTTCACAGGAAACGGAGAAATAGATTTTGACGAATTTTTGACGATGATGGAAAATAAGCTGCAATATAAAGAAAATGAGGACGAAATTTTAGAAGCTTTCAAGGTGAGTAGCTTTAAATGCTATTAAAACAAACTGAAAGGTAAAAATTTATCATGTTAAAGGGGAGTAATAATTGACGGTTTTTTTTTTTGCGATTCGTTTGTAAAACAGTTATTTCTCTAAAAGTTACTATCCCACACAACGTAGTTCTAACATTTATAGCTCGACACTGCTTTTGAAAAAAAAAAAAAAAATAAATGCAAAAACGTCGCGGTCCGATCGCAGATCAGGAAAAAAAATGCTGACATTCAACCTCAGCAACAGTTTTTCCCGACAAATCTATCAACAAGTAGTTCTCAAAACAGCTTAAAACTAGCGATGTAAAAGAAAGAAATATTTTAATTTTGTTACAAGTATCCATGAAATAACCACGCATGTAGCAACGCTATATGTCGCAACGCCGTTATATGTCGCAACTAACGCTAAATGTCGCAACGCTGACGCTATATGTCGCAATCAACGCTAAATGTCGCAATCGCCTACCGCTAAATGTCGCAACGTTGCCGCTATATGTCGCACAAAAATCGATTGTCGCAACCCCTTGACGCTAAATGTCGCACTTGGTGGAAAAGTCAAATCAGATCAGGCACATTGACCGATTGGTTTCCATTTATATTTGTAACAAAACTACCTTTCACAAATACATATTTCGCATTTTATCCTGTCACTTGTATCAATTTCGGCCCGATAACAAGGTGCCGTAAATTTTTACTGATCTACGGCACTTGATCACGTGATATGCATGGTTTGTCGGACTACTTTTCAAGAAAAAATGTAATTATTTCCTATAGAGGCCGTTCCAGTGGTATGAAAAAAACTGTCGTTAAATCTTATGTGTGTAGAAGAACGAATTTTGGAAACGTTGATAAAACTTTGTTTGTTTATTTTATTTCACTCTATAATTTTTCAAGCGAAATAAAAATTATTAAAAGTGAATAAATGTAAACCTTAACTCGTTTGCGACATTAAAATAGCGTACTTGATTTGATTGCTTTGCACGTGCTGTATGGCGCTACATTGTGACGTCACGTAAACAATACTTTAAACGTCTGTACAGCGTTAACGACTGAATAAAAGATATTGGTGTTCGAATTCATTTTCTTAGTTAGACCATTTTGTTTCATTCTAGATAGTTTTCACAACAAAATTCGACAAAAAATTGTTTTTATTTATCACATTTTTCAAACAAAATGGCGCCCTCAATGTGAAAATAATAAGAACGGCGAGTGCATTGTTGTAGAATAATGCACGCTTCCGGCCTTCTTTGTTTATATAGAAACATTTTCGATAGTGTGATTAAAGGTAGTTTGCCTAATAAAATTCTTTAAAAAAAAACGGTGACAGGATTAATAGAATAATAGATTGGTGCCGTGGATGCATCCACGGCACCAACCTATTATTCTCTATAACAGAATTATATCGGTAACAAAATGAAATTAAATATAAGCCGCGTGAATTCATATCGTTACTGCTTGATGTGTCTTATTACTATTTAATACAGTGGATGTTTACGGACATGAGAAAATACTTTCTTTCATTTGACAAAAATGAAAAATAAAAATGTTTTGCAACAATGCGAGAAATTTAAAATGTGCCCCAAAGTGTTAAAATTATGTACGAGACATTTTTTATTTATTTGTGTTTTTATTGGGAACTCGCAAAATAAATTGTGTCGTGCCGCAGTAAATCATGTGTGTTATATAAAATCATATAAGACTTGGATGCTTCGCAGCCGAATAAAAGCACTATGACGCCGCATAGAAGCCCTGCCGCATAAACGGGTTCAAAGTCATTGATGCGGTGATTTCCCTCGCATAATAGTGGTGAACACGTTTATGCGGCTAGGCGCAATGCATAAAGCGAAAATTGCTTTTATGCGGCGCAACAGTGCCTTTTTGCCACATAAAGAGATTGAACCTGAGTTTATATATTTTCAAGCCAAACAAAGTAAAGTATTAACCAAATTTTTCAACAACTTTCGATAATAATTTATCCCTTAAATAGGGATTCCATTGTAACTACCGTAGAACGTTACTAACACATTAAAGTAAAAGAATCTTATTTTATAATTTTCTTTCATTTACAAAATCGAGTTACTGGTATGCCTAGATATGCCTAAAAGGGTCTTTGGTATGTCAGCATATCAAACATATTCAAATGAGTTAAATATATACATGTATTTATATTCAAAAATGCCTTGATAAAACAAAGCTTCGTCCAAGTTTTCATGTATAGTGATTGTGCATTACGAAGATCGATTGGAAATGTTTTATTATAATACAGTATATTATGGAATTCCATAAACGACAGCCAACTGTTGACTGCTTACTGCGCGCTGCTTACACTATTGCTTACTGCCTATCGTGCGTTGTGCGTATTTATTTGCAATGTATCAGCCAAAGGATTCCGACCGAGTTATCAACGATTTATTGCACATACACGCATAATTATTTAGGTTTTGGTACATTTAACGCTATAAGCAGCGAACAATAAGCAGTAAGCCGTAAGCAGTTGACAGTATGCAATTGATGTTAGCAGTTGACAGTAAGCAGTAGGCAGTTAACAGTAGGCAGTAGTTAGTCAGAAGTAGACAGTAAGCAGTCAACAGTTGGCTGTCGTTTATTGAATTCCATGTTATAGTTCATGCATTTATTAATTTACCAGTGAATAGGAGGCAGAAAAATACCAAGGGTCCAACCGGGTTTTGAACCACAGACCTCTTGGTCCGTAGACGGACACCTCAACCACGTCGTTAAAGGGTTAATCTAACAGCAAGGCTGATGGAAGTGGCCTATATACCTACAACCACTACACTCCTCCCCTCTTTACTTTTCAGAGCTAGCCAGCTCTCCTGAATGACACTCCCGGCTTACCGCATGAGTCCGTCAAACACTTCTGACACCATTAAAGTAAATAAGGAGGCAGAAAAATACCAAGGGTCCAACCGGGTTTTGAACAACAGACCTCTTGGTCCGTAGGCGGACACCTCAACCACATCGCTAAAGGGTTTACCCAACAGCAAGGCTGTTGGAAGTGGCCTATATACCACTGCACTATATTGTGTTTGACCTCCAGAACGGCAACTATTTCGGCAAATGAATAATTTTTGACCAATATAGTTGTAATAGGTCGTCCATTTTTTTTAATGCTATAAGAAGTGAATAATAAGTAGTAAGCCGTAAGCAGTTGACAGTAAGCAGTTGACAGTAAGAAGTAGGCAGTCAACATTTGGCAATTGCATAGTATATTGATTCATTAATGTTCCCAAAGAAATATTGAGATAAATATAAAAAGTTTTGAAAGTATAACAATTCTGTCATAAACCTAAATCAATACACCGCATAGTTACGAATATCGATCAACAGATCAATTGGGTATTATTTAATACTTACATGTACTAAAGCCTATCTAGTCAGATTATGAACAGGTATAATATAAAATATATATTAAGATATAGTTCCCCCTTAGCATTGACAAGCGGGTTGCTCAGTTATGTCAAATAATATAACAAATATACATGTATATCCAAATGTTTTTGTTGATGCATTTTGTGAGAAAGACATCCTCAAAGAGAAAGTTTGATCTCACACCTGGTCCGTGGTTGAGAACCAAATCAATCCCTTTTATCAAAAACCGTTTCTATGGCCATACAAGGTTTTTGCTATAGACCGCGAAATACAACTTTTGTTTGCTTACTAGGATATGTTTTCATGTGTAAATGGTATAAACTTTAAATGTTTTAACACTTACTTTTTGTTTCAGTTCCATCTGTTACTTTCCTACCAAGTGCGACATTTAGCGTCAAGGGGTTGCGACATTTAGCGGCAATCGATTTTTGTGCGACATATAGCGGCAACGTTGCGACATTTAGCGGTAGGCGATTGCGACATATAGCGTTGATTGCGACATATAGCGTCAGCGTTGCGACATTTAGCGTTAGTTGCGACATATAGCGGCGTTGCGACATATAGCGTTGCTACACACGCATTCAAAGTTTAAAAGAAGCTTTGTTTTATAGAATTGTCAATAAATGCACAACAAGAAATTACACGGATGAATATCATTATAATCAATGAAAATGGCTCGGCTATTTCCGTAAATTTAGGATAATTGTGATCGGAATTAAACGCCCCGAAATAAACATTTGTTAATTAGACTTTCTGATAAATAAAGTAAGGATGTTGACTCTAGGACAGGGACGAATTTAGGGCAGTCGACGATCGATAATCAATTTCTACCATAAGTAAAGCACCCGATAATTCAAATCCACGTAAACAAGATGCTATTTTTAGTCGGACTGTTTAGGCGAGAAGATTTTAACCAAAACATTAACATCAGCGTTAAACAACTGAATAAATAAGAATTACAAGCAATAAATTGAAATCCAAGACTCCAAAACAGGCTGATAAAGAAAAGTGGTAAAAAATGGAATGGAACAATAATCAAAAGTGGGAATTCCAGTATATATATATATATATATATATATATATATATATATATATATATATATATATATATATATATATATATATATATATATATATATATATATATATATATATATATATATATATATATATATATAGAGAGAGAGGATATTCAAGTTTTTTCTATAAATACATGATTTATTTTCATCGAGTGGTATGAAAATAAATATTTCATGAGTGGCGGTAGCCACAAGTGAAATATGGTAATTTTCATGCCACAAGATGAAAATAAATCATGTATTTATAGAAAAAACTTGAATTTTCTGTTTATTATATACATTTTTCTCTTTCTGGACATTAAAATTTGAAAGACTTTCTATTAAATTTTGAGTACTGGCAGAATTTAAAAGAAAGTAGTCCGGCAAGACACCAGTGAAAATACGGAAAATATGTTTCACTGCAGTGAAAAATAAATTTTTACAGTGAAAATACGGAAAATGAAAATACGCATTTTATTTCATCAATATTTCTCAATATTTCATTTAAAAGTATATAATAAATATATATATTTATGTG